CCCCCCCCAAGCCTGATACGAAATGGCCTTCTACTCCAAAGCCTCCACGTCCAACACATCGCCCGTCGTTCAACGAGCACCCTCCCCAAGCTTAATCTTGAATGACCCCTCTCTTCCACAGCTTCCGTGTCCAACGCCACACTCGTTTCTCACCACGCACCTTCCCCAAGCCTAACTTGAACTGACCCTTCTATTCAACAGCTCCCGCGCCCAATACCACACCCACTACTTAAGAGGCGCCCGCCGCAAGCAGAACTCAAAATGACACTTCTGCTCCAATGCCTCTGCGTCCAACACCACATCCTCTACTGGCCATGCACCCGCCACAAGCTGTATTCGAAGCTACTGTGCCGAGAACAGAGCCCAGAGGCATGGGGGTGTCGGGGCCAGGTGGGGGTCATGGAGGGGGGCGTTGGTCGGTTTCGGGCGAGAAATCGTGAGGTAGGGGGGTCTCAAGAACAGAGCCCAGAGGCATGGGGGTGTCGGGGCCAGGTGGGGGTCATGGAGGGGGGCGTTGGTCGGTTTTGGGCGAGAAATCTTGAGGTAGGGGGGTCTCAAGAACAGAGCCCAGAGGCATGGGGGTGTCGGGGCCAGGTGGGGGTCATGGAGGGGGGCGTTGGTCGGTTTGGGCGAGAAATCGTGAGGTAGGGGGGGTCTCAGAACAGAGCCCAGAGGCATGGGGGTGTCGGGCCAGGTGGGGGTCATGGAGGGGGCGTTGGTCGGTTTTGGGCGAGAAATCGCGAGGTAGGGGGGTCTCAAGAACAGAGCCCAGAGGCATGGGGGTGTCGGGGCCAGGTGGGGGTCATGGAGGGGAGGTTGGTCGGTTTTGGGCGAGAAATCGTGAGGTAGGGGGGTCTCAAGAACAGAGCCCAGAGGCATGGGGGTGTCGGGGCCAGGTGGGGGTCATGGAGGGGGCGTTGGTCGGTTTTGGGCGAGAAATCGTGAGGTAGGGGGGTCTCAAGAACAGAGCCCCAAGGCATGGGGGGGTCGGGGCCAGGTGGGGGTCATGGAGGGGGCGTTGGTCGGTTTGGCGAAATCGTGGTAGGGGGGTCTCAAGAACAGAGCCCAGAGGCATGGGGGTGTCGGGGCCAGGTGGGGGTCATGGAGGGGGGCGTTGGTCGGTTTTGGGCGAGAAATCGTGAGGTAGGGGGGTCTCAAGAACAGAGCCCAGAGGCATGGGGGTGTCGGGGCCAGGTGGGGGTCATGGAGGGGGCGTTGGTCGGTTGTGGGCGAGAAATCGTGAGGTAGGAGGCTCTCAAGAACAGAGCCAGCGGCATGGGGTGTCGCGGGGCCAGGCGTGGGGTCTTGGAGGGGGCCGTGGTCGGTTTGGGCGAGAAATCGCGAGGTAGGGGGGTCTCAAGAACAGAGCCCAGAGGCATGGGGGTGTCGGGGCCAGGTGGGGGTCATGGAGGGGGGCGTTGGTCGGTTTTGGGCGAGAAATCGTGAGGTCGGGGGGTCTCAAGAACAGAGCCCAGAGGCATGGGGGTGTCGGGGCCAGGTGGGGGTCATGGAGGGAGGCGTTGGTCGGTTTCGAGCGAGAAATCTAGAGGTAGGGGTGGTCGAAGAACAGAGCCCAGAGGCTATGGGGGTGTCTGGTGGCCAGGGCCGGGTCATGGAGAGGAGGGTTTGTCGGTTGTGGGCGAGATAAACTCATGGAGAGAGATTGCCAGGGCGTGATGGAGGCTACCTGGGGTGGGGTGTGCCCGATCGAATGATCGCTTTTCCTCACAGCCTCTGGGTGTCGGCGGTTAATTGCTCTGTTACTTATGTTGCCGTCCTATTTTCTGTGATTTTGTGATTCCACTATTCTTTCGTTGGTTGTAGTAGCATTCTTATCACTACTATTTATTATCATTGCTGTCCCTTTTGATTTGCTCAAGCATATTAATTTCAAATTCCCACTCCATTCATCTTGATACTAGTATCATTATTAGTATTATCCTCCTCCTCGTTTCCTCCTCTCCTCGATTCATCCGGTTTCTCGTCCCTCCTCCCTCCTTTTTCCTCCGCCTTCCACCTCCTCTCGTCCCACTCCTGCGTCCCTAACTCCTCGATTTCCTCATCCTCCTGCTCCTCCTCGTCCCTCGTCCTCGTCCCTCCTCCGCCTCCTTCTCCCTCCTCGTTCTCCTCCTCGTCCCTCCTCCTCGTCCCTCCTCCTCGTCCCTCCTCCTCGTCCCTCCTCCTCCTCCTCCTCCTCCTCCTCGTCCCTCCTCCTCCTTATCCCTCCTCCTGCTTCTTGTTCTTCTCCTCCTCCTCGTCCCACCTTCTGGTTCCTCGTCCTCCTCTTCCTCCTCATCGTCTCTCCTCATCCTCCCTCCTCCCTCTTCCTCCTGCTCCTCCTCCTCTTTCCTCCTCCTTCTCCTGCTTTTCCTCCTCCTTCCATTCCCTCGCCCTCTCCTTCCTCCCCTCCCTCCTCTCCCTCCCTCCTACTCCCCCCTCCTCCTCCTCCTCCTCCTCCTCCTCCTCCTCCTCCTCTCCCCTCCTCACCTCCTTCTCACTGCTTTTCCTCCTCCCCTCCTCCCCCACCTCCTCCCCTTCCTCCTCCTCCTCTTCCTCCTTCCTCCTCCTCCTCCCTCCTCCTCCTCGCCTCACCGACCCTCCTCCCTCTTCCTCCTCCCTCCTCCCTCCTCCTCCCCTCTCCTCCTCCCCTCCCCCCCTCCCCCTCCTCCTCCCCATACGCTCCGATCCCTCCCACCTCCCCTCCTCTCCTCCTCCACTCCTCCACCCTCTCCCTCCTCCTCCCTCCCACCTCCTCCTCCTCCTCCTCCTCCTCCTCCACCCCCCCCTCCTCTGTCCTGTCCTGCCTCCGCTGGCACCGTTCAGGCAGCGACCGCGCAGCTGTGTCCCTCTCCCTCTCTTTTCCTCGGAGCGCCGGAGCGGCGCCCGGGGGCCCGCGCGGCGCGGGACGGGTGCGGCCACCAGGCCGGCCCCGGGGGGGGGGAGCGGGTCCGCCGCTGGCTCGGCGGAGGCAGGACGTTTGCTGTGTTATTGTTTTTTCATGCTGTTTGCTCCTCCCGCTCTCGGAGTAACCGTTGCTCCCATGCGCTTTCCCGTGCAGGACAGCTTGCTTCATTGAGTCATATTGTTTCATCTGTTCTTATTGATTACCCTCCCGCCCGCAGAGTGATAGTTTGTTTTCCGAAGTGTTCCCGTGCTGGGCAGTTTTCCCCATGTTATATGTAACGTGTGGTGTTTATATGTCTCCCCTCCGCCTTCGGAGTAACAGTGTATTTTTTATGTTGTCGTACGCATGGCAGGTTTTCATTGTTTGGAGTGATGTCCCTCTGCTCACACTCGGAGGCCAGTTGTCCCTGTGTGCTCCTCTGCAGGGCAGGGCTAATTTCCCCCCCACAGAAACAAGTTGTCCATGTCTTCAATGATGTTGTTCCTCCCCTCCGCCATCAGAGGAACCGCTGCTTTTTTGTAAAGACAAGAAAACGTGTTCATGCGCAAGGCCAGTTCTTTCATGTGTTGTCTTCTTTGCCTGCTGCTCCGCGGCCTCGCCCTGGGCGCGGGAGAGGAGCGCCAGTGACAATGTGATCGGTTTTTTATTCATTGTTTTGCCGATCGGCGCGGGCCCTCGCACCCCTCCTCCCCCCCCCATGGAGTAGATCTTCTTGGCTATTTTTGGGCGCCTGTTTAGAGCGGGTGGGGTCTCCCCCACAATGGACACATTGGTGCAAACGGTCGCACTGAGCAATGGTCCGGAGCCAGACCCCCCCCCCACTCCCCCCCCTTCCGCCCAATGACGAAACGCCGAATAAGAAAACGTTCACAGTGAGCTTTTTTGCATTGGAATTGGAAAACACCTTCACTGCGCAGTCAGCAAGCATTGGGGAAACAAGAAAAACAGTATCCCATGGGGGGAGAAAGGACAATGCAACCCGCCAGGAGAGGCGGATAAGAAGAGGACAGAGTAAGGGGATACACACATTTGTATATATATATATATATATATATATATATATATATCGGAGTAGGGCCCCGGGGCGGTGCCTGTCATCTCCATGGGGTGTGCAGGGCGCCCCCGGGAGCGTCCGAAGCGTCCCGGAGGGCCCCTGGGACCGCCAGGAACAGTTCGAGACCGCCCAAGACGGCCCGCGAGCGCTCCAAGACGCGCATAGATAGCCTCAGGAATGGCCAGGAAGGCCCGAAGACGTTCCAAGAGAGCTCCATGAGGCCCCGAAGGCATCCCAAGAGGCCTCCCAAGAGAGCCCCGACAAGCCAACATCGTTGATTTTGTGGTTGTTGTTAAAGGTGTCGACGGCTGTGGGGACCCCTCCATTGGCAACACTTACCAAATGTTTGATGGCGATGTTGACTGGTACTGGATATGGCTCGCTCCTGTTGTAAGGAATCTGCAACCTGTCGCAAAGAAGTGAATGAACGGTCGTACGCAGACGTTTCTCGAAACGTGTGACTTCGGTCTCGAACTATCGTTTTTCAGGCATAGTGTGCTGAAGTGCGTCAGTCCTTTGAGCCTTGAGCCAAAAATTGGTCAAGGATGTATTTTACAGCCGAGGTGAGGTGTCGCCACACTGACCTCGGAAATGAGGTGTTGCCACGCTCATTCCCAGAGACGCTAACTCTACAGTGCTTCTCTCGTTGCACAAAATGCGTACGTTAGCTCATTCTGCGTCGTGCGCCTTGGAGGGGGGGCACGATCTGTCCGCCCCCATGGGCGCAACAAAACGACACCACGGGAAGAAAAACTGAAGTTAATGAATCCTCTGGTCGGTAACCGTTTGGTCCAGACCTCCCGCAGAGCCTCTGGGAGCCCGGGGGGGGACCACGATTTGTTAAGACCCCCCCGTGTTCAAATATCCCCGGGCGGGCCCGCAGAGGCCTTAAAACTTTGTGCGGAGACAACAATCCCACTTCATGGGATAAACGTTCCTCGTGAATGATCCGGGATTTGTGCGCGTCAATGAAAAAAACACTAACCACACGCCTCCTCATTGCGCAAGCAAATCCTATCCTGCGCCACGCGCCGCTCCAGCTCATGGATGTCCTCTGATGGCGTTCAAGGCTTCCGACAACATGTCGCTCGGCCCACTGGCCAAAATGTCATCGACGTACAACGCCATGATGCACACCTTGGAGCCGTCTCGCTTGATGTACACAGCGTCGACAACATCCGGAATGACAGTCCAGCCGGCTGCAGTAAGGACGCTGTGGGCCTTCTTGGCCCAATCAAAACCAGACCTCTGCAATCCGTATAAAGCCTTCCGTAAACGCAACACGGGCTGCTTGTAGCCTTTCTCGGACCACCATTTCGGCCACAAGCTCGGAGGTAAGACAATCCATACCGGCCGTCCTCCGAGCTGGGACTGCAGGTAAGCGCCTGTCACATCAGCCTGCAAAAGCGTGTGTGTTGGAGACATCGTGGCCCACCAACACACCAGACGTACAGCTTCGAGACTGGTAGGTGCACCATGTAAGTCCTTCTCCCCATAGTGCCGGCCGTACTGGTCAAGAAGACGGTCGCCTCCAGCAACAATGCGGGCCTTCCACTTCAGGAGGTACGCCTGCAGCGGGTCAAGCACGTCGAGTCCGGAAGACTCCGTGTCCTTGCAGCCTAAAAGAAGATGGGCGTACACCACAAGAGCATCAGGATGCAGAGAACGAAGTTGCCATAGCTCCATGACGGTGTCGTATGGGTCCCAAACCTTGAGCTCCTCCATCGTGGCCAACTCCTTCCGGATGGCGACCTGAGCCTCCGGTGTCTGGGCGGAGGCGGATTTGAGAGGGACAGCTTTGTAGACCATGCAGAACCCCTTCACCGCCTCCTCTGACGAGGTGGTTCCCTTCTCCACCTGGTTTTTGAAATGGCCGGCGGCTGAAGCGAGATTCTCGGGCTCGTGGAAGTCTGGGCCAACAGTGGATGGAGCAGGCTCGACCGTGTCAGGGACGATCAAGGTGCCAAAAACGATGTCGGCCACAGAAGTCTCCTCCTCACACGGCGGTAATGGGTCCACAAGGCACTGCACGACATCAGTTCCAACAGAGTCAGCACTCACGCAATGGCGACGTCGAAGATTACAAGTCTGGTCATTGCTGTGGATCTCCGACGTCTCCTTCTTGGTGACCCGCTTCCTGGGCGCACCTTCTATGCAGGCCTTGCAAGTCACGGGGTCGGTGGCGATGAACCCTGAGCAGGTAGCGCACCTGTCGCCGTGCGGGGCGTGCAGCTCCACGTCGTCGTCCGGGACCTGCTCGCACGGGAGGAGGAAATGCCATGCAACCTCGGGCTCCTTACTCTTGAGAAGATGACGCACGGGAAACTTCGGGCCGTGAGCGGGGAACTTGACGTCCCGTGTTCTCTTGAACAACCTGCGACCTTCCTGGATGAACGGAGCGAGTCGCAAGATGATAAAACTCCCCCGGGCGCCGTAGCCGACGACCACGCCGAAGTCGCCTCGTGGTTCGAACTTTGGGAGGTTGGTGATCGCCGAAGGCTTGTCCTTAAGATAGATGATCAAAGAACCAAATGGCCTCAATTCCAAATCAGACGTACGATTGAATCTGTGAAAGTATGGAGATATACGGCCATCGCGCCCAACGCGATTCCAATGCTCAGTCCACATGACGGCGCTCATGGCATACCATTGGTGTCCAAGGCCGCTCTGGCACAAGTCTGCACGCACGCCCTCCTCGAGCGTTCGATGCCACCGTTCAGCTCTCGCGCAATTGGTGGAACGACGCGGCAGACCGCGCTCGATATGGGCATCCACTCGGCGGCAGTGCTTCTCGAATCTACCCTGGAACTCACAGCCCCAATCAGGCCGTACGTTCTTGATCACGGAGTCGACGGTGAGCACCTTGTAAGCCTCCGTCACCGTGGAGCCCGTCTTGTCGGGCATGGGGTGCACGAAAGCGTAGTCAGTGGCCTCATCCCGCAACACGAGCAAGTACTTGAAGCCAGAAATGTCCGGCAGCACCGGCCCGATGAGATCGGCGTAGAATCTACCACCATAAACGGTCTCCCGCTCAGAACTCACTGCGCGCCGCGCCGGGGTCAGCGAGATCTTTGCAAGCTGGCAAATCTCGCAGTCGGGGTGCATGGGAAGGTGCAGGAGCATGTGCTCCAGAGTGTGAGGCATGTCCGGCGAGACCCACACCCTACGGGCACCCTGTTTGAAACCCTTGTTCGCTTTGTAGGCAACCACGGCCATCACCTGGTTGTCGTCCGATAAGATAACCAGTCCCATGAAGTGCACGTGCTTGACATGGGTGTCCTTGGGTAGTGGTTTGGTCAACAAGTCCGAACAGTTCTCACTGCCTTCCACATGCTTGTACGAGACCCCCGGAAGATGTAAGACGTCATAGACGAAGTGGATGCTGACGCGATGGACCTTCCTCAAGTACCTCATGGCCTTGCTTCGCCCACTGGCAAAGACGTGCTCGGCCACCTCGGCGTCGCCGCGCAACAGAATGAGGATCGTCGCACCGCCGGGCACGAACACGAACTCCAGCACGGAAGTCAGCGGAAGAGCCAACCGTCTCAGTGCGACCGACGCTGCTGCAACCTCCACTTCCCCAGTCGAGATACCAGAAGATCTAATTTTCACGGCAAACCATGCTATGGGGGCTTTCGTGCCATGCTCTCCCATAATGAAGCTCAGTGCGCCTGAAATGGATTTGCTGGTTTCCTTATCTCCTGCGCGATCGGAGTCCGCGAACGTCTCCGAGGTCATGTGGTGGACGTCTCTCTCGTCGCCTGCGAGGGTAAGGACGACGTTGGGGTAGGTGTTGAGGTAGGACATGATGCCGATGGCGACTACGTCGCATAGTGTTGACCAGCGCGCAACAAAAGATCCCAAAATCGATAAGCCGACAGCAAGTTCAGGCCGAGTGCCCCGCATCAAATACAAGAGCATGCCAATCAAACGAGCTGCCAACTTCGCATAACCCCCCCCCCCCTGATCAGCACCGTCGCCAATACCCAATACACATACTGAGTCATGACATGGCGTCTGCTTCTTGCGCAGCACAAGGTTGGGGCTGACCTCGAGGAAGTACTTAAGGATGTGACGAACGTAGTTGTGCTGTCACAGAGTACACGTACGCGAATGGCCCACTGGCTCACTCAAATTGATGTCGATACCTAAGAAGTGGTGTGCGACAACCGGCTTGTCCATGATCAGAGTCTGCGACTCGTCGTCCTCTACCACGACCCCTGGGAGTGGTACTTCGCGAGTGTCCGACTGGCGTGGGGCACGGTCCCCATGTTCCAAGACCTGGGCAATGCAGGCGGTTTGGCCCACATTGTGAGGTGGACAAAACATGCCGTTGAGGTGGATGCACTCATCCTGGTGGCTGCTGTCCGTGGCGTAGTTGTGGCTGCCGAACGAACGCTGGTCCACGCACAGCTCCTGGCGCGGGGCATTGTCCCCATCTACCACTACGGAGCTATCGGAGAATGACGGGCAGCACACTGCGACGTCAGATGGGCAGCAATGGCTACCCAATTTGCATGCTCTGGCCGATGCTGCCAAGAATGGACAGTCGGCCTCGACATGAACACTCAGCGGAACACCTTCCGCTGTTGTCAGGGCGGGGTTTTCGAAGTCGCGCCACGACCAAGAGAAGTCCAGCTTCAGATCCTTGATCAATTTCCCTAAGCCGGCAGCCGTAGGCGCCCCAGGAGCAAAGTGAGCGTGCAGAGGTCCCACCTGCGAGTTGTCGATCGACGTGGCGCCCTGGTTGAAGGCGGACTCGCCTGTAGCCGTGGCAACCTCCACTGCAGCCGTGGGCGAAATGCCGGCCTCGCCAACTTTGCCCGTGAAGTGAAACGTTGACCCAGAATCCAAAAGCACATCGGTAGACTGCATCGCTGCCGGCGTGCACTCGCAGCCGTAGGCCTTCTTGACGGCTGCCTGAGCAGCCAAGTACCGCTGAAACTCGGCGACCTGACTGTCGATCAAAGCCGCAGCGGCCGTCGACGGTGCAGAGGACGAGGACGCGCTCCCCTGCGACGGCGGATGCAAAGAGGCAGAAGTGGGAGGTGCAGCGCCTCCTGGGGCCGCCAATGCAAGGGCACTGGGATCAGTCACCAATGCCCCCGCCTGCGTGGTGGACTTCGGTGGCTTGAACTTGGGGCTCTGCGGATTATGAAAGCAATCCTTCGCAAGATGCCCCTTCTTCTTGCAGTGATCGCAATGGCGAGTTAGCTGCCAACATTCCTCCTTCGAGTGCCCCTTTTTGTGGCACTGGGAACAAATCAAGCCCTTCTTCCCTTGTGCTTTGCTGGGTGCTTTGGTGTTGGGGGTCTTGCTGAGACCCGCTGCTGCCTTTACCTTCGGTGGTCTTGTAGCGGCAGCTGCCCGGTGTTCAACGCAGATCCGCTCAATCTTCTTCATCAAGTGGTGTGTCCCAATGTCCGGCATCAAATCGAAAGCAGCGAACGTGGGAGCGAGTCTATGGTTGGATTCAAACAAAGACCGAAGAATCGACAAGATGAAGGCATCCGTCGGCATCTCGGGGCTACCCCGGAGCTCCATCAAGATGTTCTTAAGCTTGGTGAGCGTCGCTTCCGCCTGCCCGATGTCGTGCACGGGCTTGGTCATCTCGCGAAGAGCCGCCAAAGCTATCTGACGACGCCGGGGTCCTTGATGGAGATAGTCGCCATCAATGAGACGTAAAGCTTGTCGTCCACAGCCGGGCTGACACAGCTGGCGGATGGCGCCGAGTATCCTGGTGGAGTCCTCGCAGGGCTTGGCAACCAACAGATGCACCAACGCGCTGAAGAGCTTGGCGTCGATGGATGCCATCGCTGGAGGCCTGTCCGTGACCAGCATCTCGTCGCTGACGTACGGGTTGGCCACGTCGTCCATGAACGGGCCTACCAAGTGAGGCACCGAGGAGGCCGCGAGCACATTGGCATGGACGCTGTAGCGCCACTGGGTATAATCAAGATGACTTGGCAAGGAAGGAATGACAACTCTGTCCGCCTCCGGGTTGACCACGCTCGGAGGCTGACCAGTGGTGGGCGCAGCCTTTGCGGCTACAGCCTCAAGAAGCTTCATCACCACGTCCACGGGTATCGATGCAGGAGCGTGCTGCTCCACGGGGTGCCGCTGCACTGGGTGCTGCTGCTGCTGCTGCTGCTGCTGCTGCTGCTCGCCGTGCTCGGAATCACCCTCAGCATCTCCTGGTACGGGCAATTCGGCCGCATCTGTCGGAGCAGCATGCGGCTCTGCCCCCGAAGCCTCTGCTGCGACGGTCGCCGCGGCGGCGCGCTGAAGGAGCTGCTGAAGCATCTCCGGCGTCAGCGTCACCGCCGGTGCTGGTGAGGATGCCTGCGCCGGTGGCGTGTAGAGAGGCGTGGCATTCTTCGGCACTGGTGGTGGGTAAGAAGGGGCCCGGCCAGGTAGCATAGGGTTAAGCAGACTCGACGCTGTAGACAATGCTGTCCCCATGCCACGTGCCGCACCTACCGATGCCCCTGCGACTGCTGAGCCAAGTGCTCCTGCACCCCAGGCTACATCCATTGATGCTCCAGCTACTGCCGCACCAACGCCCGTAACGCCATCAGCCACGCCTCGTAGAATGTCGCTGGCGTGAGGCCAAGCAGGCTGGTAAGGATGCGGCCCCGATATTCCTGGGAACAGTCCCTGTGGTGCCATTGGGGGCGGAGCCCGGGGCACCACGGCATACGGAGCGGCGGGCAATTGCGGGTAGGCGCCTGCCCACAGAGGCGGCCGTAGGTGCTGCTGTGGCGGGGGCGGCGCAGGCAAGCTCAGCTGCAGCCCAGGGGGCATGCCGTGCAAGCCCTGAGATGGCCCCGGCAGCGCCTGCTGCGGCACAGGGGGCAACGCCGGCAGGCCCAGCGGCTGCTGTGGATCAGCGCTTGACTGAGCGCTCTGAGCTGCGTGTTGCGCCAGGTACCAGTCCAACGCCTGATCTGCGGTCAAACCCGCAGGGGGTCCAGGTGCGTGGTACTTGGGCTCATAACCTGTGGTTGTTGTTAAAGGTGTCGACGGCTGTGGGGACCCCTCCATTGGCAACACTTACCAAATGCTTGATGGCGATGTTGACTGGTACTGGATATGGCTCGCTCCTGTTGTAAGGAATCTGCAGCCTGTCGCAAAGAAGTGAATGAACGGTCGTACGCAGACGTTTCTCGAAACGTGTGACTTCGGTCTCGAACTTCCGTTTTTCAGGCATAGTGTGCTGAAGTACGTCAGTCCTTTGAGCCTTGAGCCAAAAATTGGTCAAGGATGTATTTTACAGCCGAGGTGAGGTGTCGCCACACTCACCTCGGAAATGAGGTGTTGCCACGCTCTTTCCCAGAGACGCTAACTCTACAGTGCTTCTCTCGTTGCACAAAATGCGTACGTTAGCTCATTCTGCGTCGTGCGCCTTGGAGGGGGGGCACGATCTGTCCGCCCCCGTGGGCGCAAGAAAACGACTCCACGGGAAGAAAAACTGAAGTTAATGAATCCTCTGGTCGGTAACCGTTTGGTCCAGACCTCCCGCAGAGCCTCTGGGAGCCCGGGGGGGGACCACGATTTGTTAAGACCCCCCCGTGTTCAAATATCCCCGGGCGGGCCCGCAGAGGCCTTAAAACTTTGTGCGGAGACAACAATCCCACTTCATGGGATAAACGTTCCTCGTGAATGATCTGGGATTTGTGCGCGTCAATGAAAAAAACACTAACCACAGATTTGTATCGTTTTTTCCGAGGTTTTTGGCCTTCTCGCTTTTTCGGGGCTCCGACGCTCCAAGGCCGCCCAAGAGTCTCCCAAAACCGTTTCAAGACTGCCGAAGAGGCCCCCAAGACCGCCCCAAGACGGCCCAAGAGACCCCCAAAATCGTCCTAAGACGGCCCAGGAGAGCCCCAAGATGGCCCAGGAGCTGCCCAAGGCGGTTCCAGGAGTGCCCCGACAGGGCTTCAAGACTGCCTAAGCGAGCCCTTGCCTGTGGCAGACCCCGCTACCGTGCCAGCGCAGTATCGACATGCATGCGGGGCTGTTCGACCGAGATTCCCAACCATGCCCCCACACCTACTTTTGTTGCGTCTAGTAGACGGCGCTACGATGCTGTGGCGCGGCGCCGCCATAATCTAGCATGTATGTTACTTTGCGTTTTGGCCGCTTCATGAGTACTTGTTGGGCGGCTTCTTGGGAGCCTTTGGGGGCCTGCAGGTGACCCTTGAAGGATATCTAGACCGTCCTGGGGTCGAACATTCCATTGAGCTCGATGAGGCTCGTTTGAGCAGTCCTTGGGCCTTTTTGGGCGACCCCGAGCTGCCTCTAGATCTCGGGTTGCGACAACCACGGCCGCGAGGCCGTGTGCAGATGATGATCTCAGGGTGCCTGCAAACCAGCGTGTAGTGGACTCTCACGTGCGGAGCCCTATTGGTGTGGAACGAAAGCGCGCCAGCCACCCACGCACTCTTCGCGCTCTGGATCTTGATAGTTGCCTCGTTCTTCCTGCCACAATCGCGGCGTTGCCCCTCTATGGCGGGGCGTGGGATTGCGAGAATGAGACGGCTGCAGCAGAACCGTTTTCTGCTGCACTTCGTGATGTCCGGCGCATCGCGAGTCGTGTGGCATGCCTTGGATGTCTGACCCGAGGCTGTCCTCACCAACAGATTCGCTACCGCTTCGCAGCCACTGCCAACGTGTGACCTCACAGCACTTGACGTCAATATATAGTGATAGTTCGGGGTGCGAAAGACCAAGTGTGTCTGCTGGGTGACAGTGGACTTGGCGCTCTGTCTGTCCTGCCAGCCTTTTGCTTTTCTTCTCCCTCTCCGCGTATCCCCCTTCTCCCCTTCACCTCATCGCCTGCTTGGTGTCCTCTTGGAGTGATCTGAGTGGTGCCTTCTTGTGTGTCCTCTTGGAGTTCTTCAGAATCCTCGGGGGGTAGGCTCCTTCGCGCCGTGGCCAGCGCGCGATGCCTTGCTACTCACGGTGGCTGCTGATGTTGGGCATTCCCGCCGCGGCCATCTGGGCCGCCCCGAGCCTCTGCGCCTGGGAGTGGCCGCGGCTGCCGCGGCCGCGGCTGCCGCTGCCGCGGCTGGGGGCCGGTGCCAGCGCGGCCGCTGCCGCGGCTGGCGGCGGCTCGGAGGAGAAGTGGCCATGGCGCCCTTTTGGGGTCGAGGAGGTGGATGCCAGGCAGCGCGACAGGAGTGGGTTGAACGTCAGGGTGAAGCAGGAAATACTTGTGAACAACCGTGTGAAGCAAGACGATGTCGCGGCCGGTAGGCCAGCCAGTCGTGGCGGCAGCGACGGAGCGGCCTTCCGTGTCGCCGTGGTCTTGGAGGAGCAGCTCTGTCGTGCTCCCCTCCGGCGCCGAGGTGGTGGACGCCACGCTGTGCGACGAGAGTGGGTTGAAGATGAGTGTGAAGCAAGAGGTCCAGTATCAGTGCGCAAGCGGCAACACAACTGTCTATGCACTGAGGGAGCTCTATGCCCCCCCCGAGTGGTTCAGGATGAGGTCGCTCGAGATTACCTACAAGCTGGCGTCTGCTCCAACCACCGCGCCTTCGCGCCAGAGACCTCCTGGGGTGACCGTGCTTGCGCAGATTGGCAACACGAGCATGGACAGATGGGCAGATCTGAAGCATTGCATGTCAAAGGTGTCGCTGGCTATGAAGACCGAGGGGCATGGCTTCTCTGTGTTCCTTGCCTTCCAGGAGAATATTACTTCAAAGGAAATGAGAGGGTTCGAGTTGGATGCCCGTCGCGCGTTCGGAAGTGCAGCTGTCAGGAGCATCAGGGTGGAGAACCGGGGGGCCGACATCGGACCCTACCTCCGCCAGCTGCAGGTCCTGAGCGGGCATAGCCCACGGGCTGTGGAGGTTCTGAACGTGCCCCCGTTCGTGCGCTCGCAGCGTCTGAGGGGCCCCGAGGCCTTTGACACGTTCCTGAAGGTTCACACCAAGAGCAACGGCCGACAGAGACGCAGCTGGCTCAGAGACCTATGCGGGGACGTAGAGAAAGTACGACACGTGTACAGTCAATTTAAGAGGTCCAAGTCGCTGGGCATGGTTGGCGCATCAGCGCAGGTTTTACAGTATCCTCAGAGAACCAACCTGTTTAAGGTCTGGGGTGGTAACGATATCGACGCAATGAAGAGGACGTGGAAGATGATGCAGCCCTGCGTGCCTTTCGACATCCCGATGAGAGTGGCGCGCATCATTGCAGGATCGTTCTATTGGGCCCGCCCGGACGCTGTGATGTACCAGATCATTTTGCATTCTACGGAGAAGTTGATCGAGTCGATGCCGTCAGGGTACAAGACCTTGACGACGGCCCAAACGTCACACGCGCTCGAGCGATTGATGCCAACGATGGCGATTGCTGTGTGTGGGCTGGACGTGGTTTCTGTTGACGAGCTGGGCTCGAGCGGATGATGCCAATGATGGCAGCTGCCTGTTGCGGGCTGCACGTGGTCTCCGTGGGCGAGCTCGTGCCCCTGGACAGCCCTCACCGTCGGCTGCTGCCTCGCTGCGCTGGGGTGGCTTGTGTTGGCAGCAGCCATGGCCGCCCTCTCGACGAGGACGCTGGCGGCGGCCGCGGACGAGAGCGTGCGCCAAGAGGCCCCAAAGAGGTCCCCAAGAGCATCCCCGAAGGCCCCCAGAAGCCCCCAAGAGGCCCAACAATGGCCGCGGGCCTCCGGCGGGAGGCACAGCGCCGCGCGCTCGCCACACCATTTCGTCGTTGTTGGCGGCGTAATTTGCACGCCCGCCTGGAGCGGCGCGACACCGGGGCGATCCCGTGCGCGCGGCGTCGGCGGAGGCGTGGGGGGGCGCCCAGTCGGAGGCGTCCATTCCGCGCGCAGTCTGTCAATCTGAGCCAGCAGGGGGGGGGCGGGAACGGCCTCTGTTCTCATATTAATTATGTGCAGTGCCCGATGGCATTCCATTGCTCCAGGCCTCCCAGATGGGGTCGGAGTAGAGGGTTTCATTCAGTGCAAATGCACGGTGGTATATAATTTCCTGTCATGTTAGGCTGAGGGCCGCTTTTAGTCCAAGGTATCCTCTTCTGATGTCGCGCACAGCGCTCCACGAAGCCGCTTATACGACTAAGAGCCCTGCTTAAAGCATGCAGTCAGGGCTCCACGCGGTCTCTTGCCCAGTGCAACGCGCAGCACGATCTGCGCTACGCTCACCAACCAACATTTCGAATAGTCCGTTTTTGTTTTGGTGTAGGCTTTGTGCAGTTTGTCAAAGCACATCTGCCTTCACACCGCGGTGTCATTGACTTTGTCGTCTTGTGTGGCTGATCGTGCCGAAGCATGTTGCCCGCCAGCGCAGCTGGAAGAATCAGACATGTCAGTTCCACGTTTACATTCGACGTGAGTTGTCTCCTGAAGCGCCTGCGAACAAAAAAAAAAAAAGAGGCCCAACAATGGCCTTCAGCGCGCCCCAAGACGCCTCCAGGAGAGCCCCACAGGCCTCCGAGAGGCCCCCAAGAGGCCCACTGGAGGCCCTCAGAAGGTCGTCCCCGTCATGTTCCCGGAAGGCGGTCCGGGAACATGATTCCGCGCCTTGGAGGAGTATTCTGCGCTTTCCGAGGCGCCTTCCGAGGCGCCTTGGACGACGCACTACGTTTCTATAGATTGTCCTTCTCCTGTGTACACAATCCTACATGTCTTACGTATGGGTCTATATATATATATATATATAGATATGTGTGTGTATATCCCGGGGGACGAGGTCCCCCGGCCGAGCCCAAGGACCTCGGGGGCGCATGGGGGTGCAGGGCCCCCGGGGCCGCTCGGAAGGGTTCCCGTTCGGCTCCAGAGACCGCCAGGGCGGGCTCCAGCCCAGCCAAGACAGCCCGCGAGCGCTCCAACACGCGCCAGCATGGCTTCCAGACGAGTCCAGCGGCCACCAACACGCCCCAAGCGGCCTCCAAGACGCCTCCCAAGAGAGCCCCAAGAGGCAAAAAACGTTGTTTTTTTTCATTGTTTTTTTCAATGTGTTTTGTCTTCTCGCTTTTCCTGCTTTCCGACGCTCCAAGACGGCCCAAGAAGCCCCCAAAGGCGTCCCGAGACGGCCCAAAAGGCCCCCAGGACGGCCCAGGAGCCGCCCAAGACAGCTCCAGGAGGGCCCCGCCATGGCCTGAAGACTGCCTAAGCGAGCCCAGCGGACCTCCAACACGCGCCAGCATGGCCTCCAAACGAGGCCAGAAGCCACCAACACGCCCCAAGCGGCCTCCAAGAGGCCTCCCAAGGAGCCCCAAGACGCCACAAACGTTGATTTTCATTGCTTTTTCTATTTGTTTTGCCTTCTCGCTTTTTCTGTTTTCCGACACTGCCAGACGGCCCAAGAGGCACCCAAGACAGCCCCAGGACGGCCCCAGAGGCCCCTGAGCCGGCCCCAAAACAGCCCAAGAGGCCCCCAAAGGCGTCCCAAGATGGCCCAAGTGAGCCCCAAGACAACCCAGGAGCCGCTCAAGACAGCCCCAGGAGGGCCCCGACATGGCCTGACGACTGCCTAAAAGGCCAGCGAGCCTCCAACACGCGCCAGCATGGCCTCCAGACGAGCCCACAGGCCACCAACACGCCCCAAGCGGCCTCCAAGAGGCCTCCCAAGAGAACCCCAAGAGGCCACAAACGCTGATTTGTCATTGGTTCTTTCGATGTTTTTCGCGTTCTTGCTTTTTTTGCTTTCCGACGCTCCAAGACGGCCCAAGAGGCCCCCAAGAGAGCCCCAGGACGGCCCAAGAGACCCTTAAGCCGGGCCCAAGACGGCCCAAGACGCCCCCAAAGGCGTCCCAAGACGGTCCAAGAGCGCCCCAGGACGGCGCAGGAGTCGCCCAAGACGGCCCCAGGAGGGCCCCGACATGGCCTCAAGATTGCCTAAGCGAGCCCAGCGGACCCCAAGAGGGCCCCACGAGGCCGCAAGAAGCCCCCCGAGGCCACCCAAGCGCCCCCCAAAAGGCTCCCTGGAGGCTCCCAAGAGGCCCAACAACTCCTCCCAATACGCCCCAGAGACTTCCAGTATGCCTCCAAAAACTGACCCCGAGAGGGTCATGCGAGGCCCCAAGACAGCCCAATGATGGCCACGCGAGAGCCACACCATACATTATGATGATGAGGAGGCGTAAGTAATGGTGGCGATGGATGCTGATGACAAGGATGGAAGGGGAGCGAAGGATGAGGAGGACTGGGGAGTGACTCGAGGTGAGGAAGGACGAGAACGAGGTGTAGGAAGAGAAGGAGCGGCAGATTGAAGAGAGCGGGGAGGACATGGAGGAGGCTGGCGATGATGATGAGGAGGAGGAGGAGGACGAGGAGGAGAGGAGGACGGGGAGCAGTGACGCAACCAGCCCTTAACATTTACGTTCCCAAGAGCGAAGGGTGCCATGAGCCGTCTCGGGCAAGTAAGTTCCTTCAGCGCTCTTTCCGTTTCCGTGCACAACCATTGGCCCATCCATGGAGCCATGACGGGGCCCAGGTCAGCGCCGAGGTTGTTCCCGGAGCTTCCAACAAGGTCTCCGAGTTGCACTTCCGCGTCCTGCTCCACCGACCCCGTACCCCATATCGGCTGAAGACATGATGCTGCTGCCTCCGCAGTCACCAGTCTGTTTTCTCTTGCTTACTTTTACGGCATTGCAGGCTGCCATCCATATCGCGGGTCGAGCCGCCGCTCCCTGCACCTCCGTATTCGTGGTCATGGCTCCAGCTGTTACTGAGAGGCCGCGACACACGTGTCATAACTATCCAATTTGCAATGGGCTCCAAGCTCAGATCCCAGTCGAAGGTACCAACAAACGAGAACGTCAAAGATTCTACAGGCTTACGCCACATCCGCCGACCCCTTGAACCACCCCATGGTCCGCAGCCGACAAATTGGACGGCGCTATCATCACTGGGAGCGCGTGGAGACACGAATGGTCGCGTGATGGAGCTCAAGTTTTTATACTCGAACACATAACGCGCGTTATGTGGCCTCCAACCCACCCACCCACCCAGTAGATAACATAACGCCCGCCGCCCCACCCGCCCCCCCCCCGTTGCAGCAGCGCGCGTTGTTTAGCGCACAGGTATGCTGTTCGTAGCGCGCGCGCAACGTGTTTGCAGCGTGCGCAGGCATTTGCTTGTGGTATGTAGAGGCGCGCGGCGCGCGCAGGCTGATGTGGCACCCGCGCAGGCGCGGCGGCACGCCCAGCAGTGGAAACAACGAGCAGTTCGGCGCGCATAGCGCACACGCCAGCTGCGGCGGCAATTGTGGTGCACACAGGCGCGGTGGTGTCCAGCATTGTCGTGCGCAAAAATAATTACTGTTGTCCGCGCAAGCAACGGGGGTATGGGGCCGTGCCCTGGAGGTGTACACGGGCTTTGTGGTGTGCGCAGGCACAGCGATGTACATGCTGGATGTGTATACAGGCACAGGGGTGCATTCGTACCGACGTTAGTAGCGGGGAGGGTCGTCCAGAAGAAAATATAAACCCAGCCAGACAGTCCACGGGCTTTCTAACACGGCATTGCCGTGCAGGCGCGGCGGCGGATTACATTCCAGCTGTCGTGCAGACTCGGCGGCGACCTCGGGGGGGGGGGGGAAGTTCGTCCGCCCGCGTAGTGTCGACTGGGGCCGTTCTGGCGCGAGCCGCCCGTCGGGAACGCCCGACGCGGTCCTACCAGGCGGGCGGCTGCTCAGTAGCGTCTTTTCTTTGGAGACGGTCACCAGCGTCTTCGGGCCCGCCCGCGCTCCATAGAAAAAGGACGAGGGCGAGAGGTAGGCGGAGGAGGAGAAGAAAGCAGACGGCGAGGAGGAGGAGGAGGGAGTTGCATTTCATTGGGAACCAGCATTACTGGTATGGGGGGAATTATCCCTCCGGCGTGTGGTACAGGCACCGTGCTCGCATGCGTCAGCAATCACGGTTGACGGTAAATTGAGTAATGGCTGGCGTTGCTTGGTTCAAAACCTTCCTGATGAGATGCGGATTCATCTCGCTCTCAGCCCTTCGTTCCGGGAGTGTGGACAGGCAGAGACGGGGAGGCGGGAAGAGGAGGCCTAGAAGGAAGGAGGAAGGAGAGGCCTCACCTACAGCCTCAACCAACTGCACTGGCCATCACACCTGCACGATGTAAGTATGTCCTGCACGATGTACGTATGTCCATGTAATTTAGGCACCCTCGGGCCCTCCAAACCTCCGGAGATCCCCGCGGGCCCCCAGGCTCTCTTGACCCCCCCCCCAAAAAAAAACAGGCCCCAACAAGGCCCTAAGAGGGACCAGTGGGGGCCCAAAAAGGTTCCGACAGGATCCCAAGAAGGCCCCAAGAGGACCCCAAGAGAGCTCCGAGAAGGCGTCTGACGGTGCGCAATTGCACACCATATTTGAGGCCCTCTTCGAACGCTCTTGGGGCCCCTTTAAGCCCCCTTGAGGCACCAAGAGGCTCCCAGGAAGCTCCGAGATGGCTCCGGGAGGGCACCAAGAGGGCTCCAAGACGACCCCTGGAAATGTGCAACGGCCATTGCACATCTCCAGGGCCGACGCACGTCGACGCACGTCGACTGGGAGCACGATGCTCGGATATTTATTTCCAGGAGGTCAACGTCACAGGGACGCGGGCAGACAAGGCGCAGCCCGGAGGCTTCCACTTCAACTTTCGCGGCGCGCGCGACAATAAACCGAAGTGGGTGAACTTCGGGCCGGTGGAGCTTAAAATCGTCCATTGTCTCACTGGCGAGGGGCAGCAGTATTTGAACGTCTACATTAAGAACCTTCGGCGTGCTGGGTTTCATGTCGGAGGGCTGTTGGGTGAGGATGATTACACGGAGGCTGCGACGCTCGAGGCAGGGTGCCAGAAGATGATATCCCTATCGGCGGGTCTGGATGGTCAAGCTCCGCATCGACAGGGCTCCTCCGCAATCGGCTATTGAGCCCGCCTGCCCTGCCGTGGTGCAGGATTATACATATAACGGGGGACTGGGTCCGAGGGCCGGGGGCCGGCGCCTCGACCGCAAATGTGGGGCCCGGGCGTCATTTTCTTTGTTCACACACACACACACCCAAACACCCAAACACACACACACACACACACACCAAGATAGCACCAACACGGCAATGAATGCCCCCAGAGTCCCCGCAATTCTTCAATTCTCTCCTTTCTTTTCGTGGCATTGCGCCTCCGCTGCCCTCTCATCATCGCCATTTGGTGTAATGAGTTAGCGCGTAACTTTGCTGCGCGAGTTGTGAGGGCAGAGCGGCACGCACCCGCAAATAGCAGGGGGCACGATTCCCGCTCGCACTGCAGACAGTGTGCCGTGACGGCGGTCCGTGGCAGCCGACCCAGGGAGTGTAGGCTTGCAGAAGTGTGAGGCGACAGTGGGATACACCCGCATACAGCAGGGGGGCCCGTTGCCGTTCGCACCGCAGACATTGTCTGCTGCGTGTTGCTCCAATTCCAACCGAAATCATAGCACCTAAGACGTATATATCCATACATCCCATCTTCTGGAGTGAGCAAGTACCTTCATCAACATCCACAACTCCGCGTTTACATCCTCAACGCGCGTTTGGCGCAGCTCGCGGTTGGCGCGCATTTGGCGCGTCGACTGCTTCGCCGTCTGGTAACTGATTTGCTCCCTGGTTGCCAGACAGTGCGGCAAAAAAAAACAAAAAAAAACAAGACAACAACAAGTGAAATGCTTGTTTTCACGTGCCCAGGTCTTGAGGATGTCTCGAGCGAGACGCTTGGTTTTCACGCCTCCAGGTTGCCCAGTTAGATGTCTAGCATGAGGATTTGTTGAGGATGTCTCGAACCAGAGGCTAGTTCTCACGTGTCCAGGTCGCCCAGGCGGATGTCTTGCATGAGGATGTGTCGAGGAAGTCTCGATCGAGACGCTTGTTTGCACGTGTCCAGGTTGCCCAGGCGGATGTCTAGCATGAGGATGTGCTGAGAACGTCTTGAGCGAAACGCGTGTTTTCACGTGTCCAGGTCGCCCAGGCACAGCACAGCCCTCGGCACGGTACATCAATATCGATACCCTTAGCATTGCAGCCTGGCATGTTGCCTGGCACGTTCCGCGGAGCGTCCCGTGGCGAGTCCCCCTGGCACATCGCGCGGTGCACATCCATTGGCACGTTCCGTAGCGCGTCCCCTTGGCACGTCCCGCGGTGCGTGCCCATGGCACGTCCCCTGGCACGTCGCCTGGCGCGTCCCTTGGGACGTTCCGCGGCGCGTCCTCCTGGCATGTCCCCCTGTCGATTAGTTCTGGAACAGCTACCATCTGCTCAGGCAGCTCGAGCTTAAGATCCAGATCAGTTCGGTCAGGACTCGGATGCAAAGAGGACTCGATTCACAACGCTATGTAGAGCACGATCGCGGCATGGCACATCGCAGTTCAGCACGGCCTAGCACAGCACAGCCGTCGGCCATTGCACATCTCTGGGGGCCTCTTGGGACCCTCTCGGGGCCCTCTTGGGGCCTTCTTGGGCCCCTCCCAGACGGCCCACGAAGCCCGCGGGGGGCTCAAGAGGGTTCCAAGATGGCCTCAAAAGGGCCTCGAACGGGCCCCAAGATGGCCCCAAGACAACCCTTGAGATGTGCAACGGCCGTTGCACATCTCTGGGGGCCTCTTTGAACCCTCTCGCGGCCCTCTTGGGGCCTACTTGGGCCCCTCCCAGACGGCTCAGGAAGCCCGCAGGGGGCTCAAGAGAGCTCCAAGATGGCCCCAAGAGCGCCCCGAACGGGCCCCGCAACGACCCCTGAGATGTGCAACGGCCGTTGCACATCTCTGGGGGCCTCCTGGGACCCTCTCGGGGCCCTCTGGAGGCCTTCTTGGGCCCCTTCCAGACGGCGCAGGGGGCCCATCAGGGCCCAAGACGGCCCCAAGAGGGCCCCGAGCGGGCCCCAAGACGGTGACCCCTGAGATGTGTAACGGCCGTTGCACATCTCTGGGGGCCGCTTGAGGCCCTCCTGGGGTCCTCCTGATACGCCGGAAACGTATCATCTAGGAGCGTGCCTTGCATGGCGGAGACGAAATCAATCGAACCACGATTATGGAAATACTGTTGGGGCGTGCCTTGCATGGCGGAGACGAAATCAATCGAACCACGATTATGGAACCAGGCGTCGCCCGCCGGGGCGTGCCTACGTAGAGAACCAAACGACATAAACGAAACAGCTCGGAGGTCCGCGCGGGTTTCTTGGAACGGCGCCGGACCGCGTTCCCCCGGAAGCACCGCTAAGCGGCCCAGCGCCGACGCAAGAACCCCGCGCGGACCTCCGAGTTGTTGCGTTTACATGGCTCAAGCCGTTGTGGCTCGACGGGTCTTCGGGGGCCCCCTTCGTCTGTGGGGAGCTTCGCAATCTGTCCTGGTGTTGCTTTTCGCCCTCCCTCTCCCTCCCGTCGCTCCCTCCCTCCTCCCTCCTCCCCTTCCTCCCTCCCTACTACTACTACTACTACTACTACTACTACTACTACTACTACTACTACTACTACTACTACTACTACTACTACTACTACTACTACTACTACTACTACTACTACTACTACTACTACTACTACTACTACTACTACTACTACTACTACTACTACTACTACTACTACTACTACTACTGTACTACTACTACTACTACTACTACTACTACTACTACTACTACACTACTACTACTACTACTACTACTACTACTACTACTACTACTACTACTACTACTACTACTACTACTACTACTACTACTACTACTACTACTACTACTACTACTACTACTACTACTACTACTACTACTACTACTACTACTACTACTACTACTACTACTACTACTACTACCACTACACTACTACTACTACTACTACTACTACTACTACTACTACTACTACTACTACTACTACTACTACTACTACTACTACTACTACTACTACTACTACTACTACTACTACTGCTACTACTACTACTACTACTACTACTACTACTACTACTACTACTACTACTACTACTACTACTACTACTACCACTGCTATTACCACTGCTACTTGTACTGTAAGTGCGTGCGCATTGCCGCCGGGCCCCAGGCTCTGCGGTGCTCGCGCGCGCTGTGTTCACAGGCGTTGTGGCGTTCACACGGGTTGTGGCGTTTTCTGGTTATGTCGCGTGCACAGGCGATGCGGCATTCACGGGCGCTGTGGCGTTCGCAGGCGCTACGTTGACAGGCGCTTTGGTGTTCACAAGCGCTGTGGTGTTCACAGACGCTGCGCTCGTCAAAAGCATTGTGCCGTTTACGGGCACGTCGCGTTGATCGGACCGCAAACTATTGTAGCGCTTGACATAGGCGCGTCGTGGCTGTCGGGTCGCAAGCGATTTTTTCGCTGGCGTACTACAGGTGGTGTGCACGTTGACAGCTGTATACACAGGCGCTGTTGTGCACCCGTGCGTTGCGACGTACGCTGACGATGTTGTGCACGCGTAGGTTGCTGCATCAGCATGCGTGGTGTTCGTGGGCATTGCGGCGCTGTGTAGCACTCGCAGCTGCTAGGCCCTGTCGTTGCATGAGTGCTATGACCAATAGCAACAAAGGGCAGTCCTTCCAGCACAATCAGCATTCGAGCGGCCAGGCGCGACTGCGTTGTGCGCGCGGAACGTGCTGCTGTGGGCGCAGCAAAGGGTGTGAAAAAAAAATGTGGTATGGCGCGTTTACAATCGTATACGCAGTTTCTGTGGTTTACGTGATCACTGCCATGCGCCATGCACTGTGGTGTACACGCGCGATGTGGTGCGCGCATAGGCTGCTGCATCAGAATGTGTGCATACAGCCATTCGAGCGGCCGGGCGCGGCTGTGTTATGTTATGTGCCAGCGACCCCACCCACCCACCCAGCCACATGACGCGCGTTATGTGGAATAATAAAAACTTGAGCTCATGGACGTCGAATAGGGGCTTGGAAGGTTTTGGGCGGATCTCGGGTCGGGAGGAGGAAAAGGAGGAGGAGGAGGAGGAGGAGGTGGTGGTGGAGGAGGAGGTGGGTTGTCTTCGGGTTCTCTTGGAGGCCTCTCGGGCCGTCTTGGGGCGGTCTTGGGGGCCTCTTGGGGCGTCTTGGTTCCATCGTCGGCTACTTGAGCCCCGGCTTCCCCGTTTCGCGCCACCGCCCCATCCCTGACCTCCTATTTCTCGATTATTTTCGAGACGCGGTCCCCGGAAGCCCCGAGGACTTCCCGAGGACCGGCTTTTCGTCTGGGGTCGTTTTCTGACGGTCCCGGGGCCCTACGAGGGCCCCCGCAGGCCGAAAGTCGCCAAAAGCCTCTCGTCGCGATTTTTTCGAGACGTCGGAGATCTGGGCCCTTCGCGCCACCGCCCCACCTCGTCGCTCGTGCGCTTCCGCTTCTGGTCCGAGCCCGAGCACCAGCGAGACCGCGCGCGCGGCCACGCAACGGCGGAGCGCGTGCCGGGCGACCGCGGCCCGGGCCGGCGGCGCAGCAGAGCCCGTGGAGGAGTCGCCGACGTATCAGTGCAGCGGCGCGTGCAAGAGAAGGCTACCAAAGTCGGCGTTCCCCGACCCGCACAATGTCCCGCGAGACGCCAAAAAAGGCACCCTGAAATGCAAGACGTGCAAATGATGTCGACTCGGGCGCGCGTACTGGTGAGAACAAGGAGGACGGGGACAGGAGAATGGGGGATGAGGCGGATGATAGGGGGGCGGGGGGGGAGGGGGGGGGCGAATCATCAAGGATGACGAGGTGAAGCGGACCAGGAACAAGAGGAGGGGGACGAGGAGGAGGGGGGCGAGAAGAGGGTGGAGGAGGACGAGGAGGGGGGGACATTGAGATGAGGCTCGCTATGTGTGCAGTTATTTCGCGGCACGCCTTGCGGGGACCTCTGGAAAACAGTTTTGAAGCCGCTGGGGGGCCGAGGTGGACAAGGGCGGTGAGGAGGAAGAGGAGGGGGACACGGAGGAAACGAAGGATGGGGGGAAAGAGTCGACGAGGATGAGGATGAGGCGAGGGAGGAAGAGGAAAAATGGGCGAGGAGGATATGGAAGAGGAGGAGAGGGAGGGGGAAGAGGAGGTGGACACCCTGAAGTGCGGTTTGCGCGGCGATCGCTTGTGAAACGCGGCTTGGAGGCAGTTTCAAAGCCTTTTGGGGGCAGTTTTGGGGCCGTTTGGGGGCCTCTTGGGGGCCTCTTGGGGCCTCTTGGTAGCGTATTGGGGGTTTCTTGGGGCCTTTTGGGGCCTTCTGGGGCCGTCTTGGGGCGGAAGGCTCGGATTGTCGGTTCAATCTCCCCCTCTTGGGCCCCTCTTGGAGTTGTTTTGGGGCCCTCTTGGGCCGTCTGTGGGGCCTCTTGGGCTGTCTTGGCGCCCTCTTGGGCCGACTTGGGCGCTTCGTGGGGGTCTCTTGGGCCGTCTTGGGGCGGTCTTGGGGTGCTCGTGGACCGTCTTCAACGCCGTGAGGGCGGACAAGTCGCATATGATCAAAATGTTCGTTTCCCATTGGAATTTGACGATTTTCGGTTCTTCGGCCCTTCTGAGGACTGCTCGTGGAGGCCTCTTGGGCCGTCTTGGAGGCCTCTTGGCCTGTCTTGGGGCCATCTTGGGCGTCTTGGAGCGCTCGTTTGGCGTCTCGTGGCCTTCGTGGGCACTCTCGGAGGCCTCTTGGGGCCTTCTTGATTCGTCTTGA